TAATTAATTAACTTAATTGGCGAGCCAATTTAATTAAAATCAAATTTTAACTAAATCCCGAATTAGAGTCCAACTCTAATTCCATAACTATTCGGCGAAGTAATTTAATCAAAATCGAATTTTAATTAATTATTAAATTAGAGTCATACTCTAAATTTTAATTTGCATTGGGAAGTGGTATTAATTGAAATCAAATTTTAATTAATATAATATTAGAGTCCAACTTTAATAAAATTGAATTAATATTTTAATTTAGGACAAAATTTCCAAATAAAATAAAATTCAATTAAGGGTCAAAATTAAATATTTAAGTTAAAACCTAATTTTAACAAAAATATAAAAGTAGTCAAATTTTAAATAAATTTTAATTTTGGATCAAAATTATGGTATGGGTCAAACCCAATTAAAACATCATTTTAAAATCAATTCAAAATCATTTTTGACAATTTACAAATTTAACCCAATTTGGAAATTAACACCGGACCCTTCCAAATTAAAAATTGTAGAACAGGTCCCCCTTTTAAATTTTGCAAACTGACCCCATTTTTGTAATTGCAATCAGGGGCCCCTAATTGCATTATTTGCAACAGAGGCCCCCGTCTCCGCCAAAACCTTAAATTTTTTTTTTGTTACCCGGCGCCGCCCTGCCCAACAGCCGGTAGGGGAACTGTCGACAGTTACCCCCCAGCCCACCACAGCAGCAGCCTAGCCGCCGCTTGATGCGCCTGCAGTACGCAGCAGCGCACGCTACGCGTGGCTGTGGCGTGCGCGCAGCCGCCACTGTCCCGCTGCCTCGATCCAAGAAAAAAAAACTTTTTTTTGTGTTCTTTCAAAATCAGATTCTGGAAAGAAAAATAAAACTAAAACTACAATTGCTAGATTCATGGATTAACATGATTAAATTAACTTTTAATTTAATCAATATATAGATCAATTCTTAACAAATACAAAGTTGGCTCTGATACCACTGTTGAGAATTTACTTAAACATGCACACCAGATTTAAACAAATTTCAATTCCAATTCGAGATTCAACTTTATATTTAGATAAGAATTGTGATAAGAAATATACACTTTCTTGATTTTGCAAACTCCTTCGCGTTATTCCTTTCGAGCAGTTTGAATCTGCCTTCCACAACTGTCCAATTGTTCAGCCTCCAATGAAATCCACGCAGAGAATAGACTGCAACTGGTAGGATTTTTCCTCTTGTGCCAGCAAGAATAATGAAAACCTTATAGATCTCAAACTCTAGCCATGTATTTATATAAACCCAAACGGGCTTGGCCCGGTCCTGTCCAATGTTTAATTAATCCATTTAATTAAACCCGATCCGTGAACTAATTAATTCGGGAATATAAATAACAAATTCAATTAATTAATGTATCCAACGATTGTTAAATTAATCAATTGGCAATTTGCAATCTTCCAATTCTCTTTTGTGTGCGACCCATTAGGTTCCCGACCACGACACCTAATGACGTGAAATATTATTTTGATCTAATCAAAACTGATAAATTAAACACCCATTTAATTTATCACAAATTCACACTCGCCGTCCCATACTGACATCTAACAATGTATCAGGGCAACACATGTGACGGGAAATGTCACGTGGTATGACAAAACCAAAACTGTTCGTTTACCATGAAATTATAATCCCTTCGTCAATATGATCCGATCAACTACGAGATATGGAAGTGTGTCAATCTCGATTATCGATCATATCTTTCATTCTACTATTAAGTCAATATGAGTTGAAAATTTCTTTTCGACTTATATGTATACCTTGGCCAAGGATTTTGTTATTGACTTAATTGAACGAAATGCAGATCACAATCTCTTACCATCTAAAAGTGATGAATCATCTATTGGTCATTCACAACCTTCATATGGTTCTTGACATACCCGAACGATGTCGTATTAGCAGCCCTTGGCAGAGCAACATCCAACACCGTCAAAGTATGACCGTCCTCATATAAGGCACTATGATGACCTCAAGTTATAGAACCAATTTCACTACTGAACGTTAGAGATTAACCACTGACACTCAGATAGTTATCTATGTGGAATCTCTCAGTGGGTCTCCAATATTTTGTTCTATAACAAACATCCACGTGTTCATTTAAGTGTCACCACACTTTAGCTCGTGAGATCAGCTACTTACTTCACAAGTAAGAAATGCCAAATGTGATGGTCTAACTGTATTAACGATATCCGTATCTCGTTATTACTTACGACCACGGTTTATTCAAGATCCAATTATATGTAATTTGTATCTCACAATCACAACTCCTTGTAATTAACAAATCACTTAAACTTGGATTTTCGGATTCTATTATTTAATATTATTTATCACAAAAATTTGAATATATTTCGTTTGTTAGGAGAAATTTGAAACAAAATGATGGAGTTGGACGAAATGAGTGAAAAATGGAAAAAAAAAAAAAAAAAAGGGAAAAATTTTAAAGTTTGAGGTCTAAATTGAAAACTCTTAAAAGTTGATTCAGATATTATATCGACGATTGGAGAGTGCTAAGAGTCAGTTGGATAAAAAAGAAAGGCTAAGGATTGAAAAGAAATGAAAAAGGACCAAATTGCACATTGGAAGAGAGTTCGGGGACTAAAATGAAAAATTGGCAAAATTTGGCTCAAACGTAGTGTGTGTGTGTGTGTATTTTTATTTTTTTGTAGAATATACAACTCAAGGATTTACTTTTGATTTTAAATTATGTCTGACTTAACATCAATATCCTTATTAGTCTAATCGTAAAAATAAAAATAAAAAGCATTATATGTTTAACTATTTCTCAAATATAATGACGTGTTAGTAATAAAAGTAACTTCAATTAATTATGCAAAAAAATCCAACGAACAAAAGTTATGTGTAACTATTCCATAGCTTTTTCTATCCATATTCATTTCTTGGATCAGGTAATAATTAAAGGGATCTTAGTTTTAAGTAGTGAAAATCTAAATAAAATTTATTTGCGACCGATTTTTATTTGCAATGAAACAGATATAAATAGCGAGCTTACATGTAATTTGATGAAATTTGGTACTATTCATCGAAAATTAGATATGAAAGAGGAATAAATAGACGCGGATGGAAACAAACAAACAAATTCGTTTTATTAAAGCAAAGACCTGAACTTTGCTAAAATTTCATCTTAATGTTGTACCGTAAATTTTGATGATAGTTGGATAAGAACAACATTCAATGGAAGAGTAGAACAAAGTTCTTTATCAAGGGAATACAGAAAATCGGAAACATAACTAGAAATTATTTAGACACTAACATGAGGATTGGCGATCAGATAATCTGCACAAGACTTGTAGAGTCCCATAGTATGTTCCTGGGCTGCTTTAATATCCTCTTCTTTAGGGATAACATCACCCTTGGAATGATACTCACTGGTGATCTTGAGGACACATCCTCCATCCTTTGAGTCCTCAAATTTCATCTCGTAACATACCTTTTCAAGCGTGTCTCCCTCAACCAAAGTGAACTTGCCCACGTAATTTTCTTTGTCCAGAAAGTTGACCGTGGTCTTCATGTGTTTGAAGTAAGATCCTATTATATAACGCAGATGCTCATGAGAGTATGTAAAATGAACAAAACTTCGGACATGTTTTATTTGGTCTAGTTCTTCTTTTTTTTTTTTTTGGTGACAACTACAAATTTATGACTTATTTAGTATGGTATATTTGATGACGTTTGACACAATAGTACTACATATATACAAAATATTATGTTCTCATTCTTCTTTCGCGATTTTAATATTTGGACTAACCATCAGATTCAAAGAAGTTTGTCTATTTGACACTCCCAGCACCACCATCTCCTTCAATTGTCTCAATGCTCTTGATGGATGGGGAGACTTTAGGCAAAACAGTAAGGCTCCGTTTGATACGCCATATTATTCATGGAAGTTGGAATTGAAAATGTCATTTTCACTTTTTGTCATTTTTGATAGGTAATATATTCCTGGCAATTCATTTTCTAGTTTTCTGGTTCGTGATCCTATTTTCCACGAAAATGAGGAATTTGTATTCCTTTGGGTTAGTTGGGAATTGGTTTTTTTGGTTGCTTTTCTTTTTTTATTTTTTTGACAATGGAAACAAATTCTATCCCTAATTGTGTAAAATATATATATATATATATATTCCTTTAATTGACAATTTTCATGTAAAACAAAGTCAAACGAACGCTAAAAGATGGATGATTTTCTTGTCTTTTTTTTTTTGGCAATGGAAACAAATTTTATCCCCTATACCAGTAAATTCTATTAATTTAAATGACAATTTTCATGTAAAATAAAGCCAGACAAATACCAAAAAATACTTTTATTTCAACATTTTCAACATAAAAAATTATACCAATCAAACATAATAATTGACAATTTTCAGTAAAATACTTTCTAGACAATTTCACTCCCTAAAATTCATTTTCTCTTCATCCAAATTCCATCTTTGCAATCAAACAGGCCCTAAAAGTAACTTCAATTAATTATGCAAAAAATCCAATGTACAAAAGTTAGATATAACTATTCCACAGCTTTTTTTGTCCTCGTTCATTTCTTGGATCAGGTAATTATTAAGAGGGTCCTAGGCTCCGTTTGATTGACTTCAATTCAATATAAAATGTCATATTCGAGGAATTTGTTTTCTATTTTGCCTGTTTGATACGAAAGTGAAAATGGAGTTCGAATTCCAGGTTACAAACACTTAAAAACATGTTTTTGGCCAATTCCATTGAAAATGCATTCCTATGGTTTTGGTGGTTTTTCTTTTCCAACTTATATCAAATTGATTTGCCTTTTTCACCTTTACAATCAAATGGAAGTTTTAATTACTCCATATCTAGATAAAATTTCTTTGCAACTGAAATTTACGTGCAAAGAAACAGATATAAATAGCAAGCTCACATGTAATTTGATGAAATTCGGTACTATTCGTTGAAAATTCGACATGAAATAGGAATAAATAGACGTGGATGGAAATAAACAAACAAATTCGCTTTATTAAGGCAAAGACCTGAACCTTGCTAAAATTTCATCTTAATGTTGTACCATAAATTTTGATAACAGTTGGATAAGAACAAACTTCAATGGAAGAGTAGAACAAAGTTCTTTATTAAGGAAATACTGAAAATCGGAAATATAACTAGAAATTATTTAGACACAAACATGAGGATTGGCAATCAGGTAATCTGCACAAGACTTGTAGAGTCCCATAGTATGTTCCTGGGCTGCTTTAATATCCTCTTCTTTAGGTACAATATCACCCTTTGAATGATACTCACTGGTGATCTTGAGGACACATCCTCCATCCTTTGAGTCCTCGAATTTCATATCGTAACATACCTTTTCAAGCTCGTCACCAAGTGCATCTCCCTCAACCAAAGTGAACTTGGCCACGTAGTTTTCTTTGTCCAAGGAGTCGACCTTGGTCTTCATGTGCTTGAAGTGAGACCCTGTTATGTAACGCAAATGCTCATGAGAGTATGTAAAATGAACAAAACTTCGGACATGTTTTATTTTGTCTGGTGTCGTAAAAATAATAAAAATAATAAAAAATTTAAAAATTTTAAAAAAAGGAGAAAAGAAAAAAAGAAAAAGAAGAAGGACCTTTGACACAATAGTACTGCATATATACAAAATATTACGTTCTCATTCTTTTTTCGCGATTTTAATATTTGGACTAACCTTCAGATTCAGAAAAGTTTGTCTTTTTGACACTTCCAGCACCACCATCTCCTTCAATTGTCTCAATGCTCTTGATGGAAGGGGAGACTTTCGGCAAAACATCGTGGTTATCGGTGATCAAAGCCTTGAACAGCCTCTTGTGAGAAACATTAGTTTTGAGTTCATGGAAATAGTTGGAGATACCCATATTTACCTTGAATAGTTGAAAAGTTAAGTGAATTACAATAGAGAAGAAGTGAAGAGCTGTGCAGGAAACAGCAGCTGAACATGGTATATATAGCGGTGGTGTAGTAGAAAACATTTGAATATTATAGTCAAACTGCGCCTTAAAATTTAATATATTAGCACGCCATTTGACGATACATTTTCGGTTTATAATCAGTTTATTCCATTTCTATTTTCCCACGTCTGCTTTGAATAAGAAAATATTTTTAATGGGCTGACTAGTTGGAGCTTTAATCGTCACATTTGTACAGCTTCTACGCTGTATATCTACTTGTTGAGATTTCAATATAATACAACAGCCGGCCTATTTGGTGTGAATATATTTGAACATGAGACTTTTATCCGTGTCTAGAATTTCTTTAGAGCCCATCATGAAGCTGTTTCATTTCAATTGGTTTCTCCATATTATATAGGTCCACATGACAAATATGTTTCTTTTTCTTATTGGGAAAATTTTAATTTGTCATGTGGACCTCCTTTTGTATTTCATTGCTATTGATTACAGTAAATATTTCGCCTCTCTGTGCGTGGTATTTCCGAATTTGGATTTCTACGTAAATATTGTGTTTCTGTGTGATTCATTATTTTCATTTTATCCATATTTCTTTCCTTTAACATTCATAACAAGTGGTTTAAGTTCTATCACCGGGTCAATGCAAATTGGCTCTATCTATAACATAGTAGGCCATTATTGACTGTCTATTCCATTTGCGTAATCTATACATTCTTTTGCCTTTCATTCAAAGGCCATGAATAAGAAAAAGATTATTATTTCTCACAGATGCGCTTTAGCTTTTTTTTCTAAAGCTTTTTTTCTATCAACATAGTCCAATTTGTACGGATTCCAGAATCTAATTTGAATATTTAATAGTTGAATAATACCAATACAAATTATATATAATTAGGAATTGTTGGAGTAAAATAATAGAACAGCTTATTTTATGTCAATATCTCAGAAAGCCAGAAACTGGATCAGTTATGGATTTTCTCATTAAGAAGCTGTTTAATTGATATAGGTATTTATTTTGTTTTTGTTGATACACTAAAAGTGCAGCCCAAATCGAATAGCCCAAGGAATGAAGCCTAATTGAGGAATCCCAAATCAAATAGCCCAAAGAATAAAGCCTAATTGGGAAATTTAGGATAAAGACCCAGATAGGATTATTAATGAATGCAGTGAAAGCCCACAAACATAGTAATATCATCGCCCAAGCTTGCAAGACGCCCGAAATTTGAGCGAATGGAGTGCCTTACAGTCGCCCAGAGCGATAACCCTGTTCTCACCCATACCTTCGAATCGTCCAGGATCTTAGCAAACATAAAATGTTATGGTTATCCAAAAATGCAATTATTAAAGCAGTTATTGAGTAACCTTATCACATTCCACGATTCAAGGAACCCAGTTGAAGGCGGTTGAACGACAAAGAGTAGTAGCAACAGTTAGAAACAGCAGTTCCACGACAAGTTAACCACTATAAAGAAAGTGAGTAGTTATAAAGCAATCAAACAGTTTCCAAACGGTTTGTCACGAAGAAATCATCAAGGGAATATAAAAGGAAGAGAAGACATAAAGAGAAGGACCCCGAATCAAACACTCTCAAACAGAGAATATGTAATTTCAATATCTTAATTTAAACTTAAACATTTCTTTCAGTACTCGTGTGCTTGCGCTCCTTGGAGGTATTCTGTTTAGTTCCAATTGTAAATCATCGCGAATAAAACACCCCTTTTTGAAACTTCGTTTCAAGAGGTTTGTTCCTTACACAATCGTCTGATCCCTTTTTAATTGTTAGCGACTACCCGCGCGAAACAATTTGGCACGCCCGGTGGGATAATGGTGTTTGGTGTTGAAGATATAAAAGGTAAAACAATATACCTCACAAATCTGATAAGGAAGCAGCAAGTGAGGGAGGAGTCCAGTCTGTGATCGAGCGATATGAGGAGCAGCATAGCTCTCCACGACAGAGGGACAGAGTCAGAGTAGTAACAGTCGTTACGAACTAATGACAGAGTTGAGTCCTCGAACCATGCGTGTATTACTTGGAGAACTCACATAGGATGTCGTTGAACAGGTAAATCTACGAAATATTCATAATATGGAAAGATTTACCCATAATGGGAATGCACATTATGACAACATGGCCAAACAACTGAATACTTTGAATGAACTAAAAAATAAGTTAGTAGGTCGAATTTGTCAGCCAGTTGTGCCTCTTGCAAATCACTTTCAAGATAGGACAATTGTGGGACATAATCCCCCTGTCCTGAGTCCAAATCAAGGGATAGAACCACCTTTTGGTCCCTTTACTTCAAACCAAGGGATGGTGTAATGCCAAATCCGAATAGTGATAATGGTACAACTAACTTGGGGGGTAACCTAAATGTAAGAGACAATGTCCTAAATAATGGACAGAATGCCCCACGTGTTAATGATGGAATAAATATTCAGGGTCATTGTAATAATGGCCCAAATTAAGGCAACTTTGTTGCCAACCAAGGACCAAACATCAGGCCTCAAGCAAATCAACCGATCAACCAACCTGTAGGAATTCCATATGACCCCAACGTCATGTTGAGGAATGAAATTATGGAAACAGTACGGGATCAGATGGCTTTTGGAGTACGTCTTGTCATTAGGCCAATTTACACAAAGCCATATCCTGATTGGGTAGACCAAGCATATCTATAGCTTAGAGGGTATAAAGTGCCAGAATTCTCACTATTTACCGGTTTAGGAGAGGTATCTACTCTAGAACACATAGGGCGATTCACACTGCAAAGTGGTAAAGTAACAGACTACCATAAAATGAGGTTGTTCCCTAGTTCATTAACAAGAGTAGCTTTCTCCTGGTTTATCAATTTTCCAGCGAACTCTGTTCAAACATGGCAACAATTGGAGAAATTGTTTCAGGCTCAGTTTTATAAGACTGGGTTTGAAGTTACTTTGGCCGATTTGGCGAGTCTGCGTCAAATGCCAAACAAATGGACAGAAGGTTTCCTTCAAAGATTCAAGACAGCAAGAAGTAAATGTTGTGTACCTTTGCTCGAAAAGGAGTTTGTCAAGATCACTCAAGATTGAAGCTTTGATTTGAAAAAGAAATTTCAAGACAAGGAATTTCCTGATCTTTTTCAATTGAGCGCAAACGTGATTAGGTATGAACGATTAATAAGAGAAAAAGAGCAAATGAAAAATTCTAGTAAGGGGACTTATTATAGAGACCCAAATTTTGATGTTCATACCATTAATGACGAATATTACGATCAAGCCGAAATGTGTTTGGCCGAATTGATTAAAGGATATACGTATACTTGTCCTATAATGGCTAAACCTAAGCCGTCGGGCAAGGATAAGCCTATAAAAGATGAAAACAAAAAGGCTAGAACGTTCTCATTCAATGTAACCAAAGCTGACTTATATTTGATAAACTATATAAGGATAAACAGATAAAGCTGAGCGATAAACATAAATTGCCAAGCCCTGAACATGTTAAGGGTAAAAAATATTGTAAGTGGCATAAGGCATGGTCACATTTGACTAACAACTATTTGGTTTTTCACCATGTGTTACAGGATGCCATTGAATCAGGACGAGTTACGTTCGAAGACAAGAAGAAAATGGCAGTGGATGAAAACCCTTTTCCACAACCACTTGGGTGAACATGGTGACGACTGGTTTCAAAAACAAGTTACCAAAATTCAAGTTGGTTATAGATGACGGGGAAGAGGACCCTGGGCCACATCCTAGTGTCTTTGAACGTATCAAAGGGAAAGAGCCCAAAAAGGATGAAGACGTCCTATGTGCAAGATGCAAAAGAGAAGTGAGTGCAAATACAGAGAAATCAGGGATATGGCAGCATCACCATCTCCCTAGTTTTTTCCCAAACGTTCAGCCTGGTAGAGGGTGAGGTACATCATTCTATAGGGGACCATCTTTTGAGAGGCAGTTCAGGCTAGTAAATAATGGGAGAACATTCAGGCCACAACCTTGCAAACCAAATGTATGGCATTCGTTCCAGTATAACGCAGGAAGAGTGATACCCTTCAACGAGATGACTAGAACCCAACAAAGGCGTTTTCAATGGAACTATGTACGAATGATAAGGCAACAACAGGAAATGCCACGTCCTAAAGTGCCTAAACTACTCGAGGTAGCCAATCAAAATATTCGCAAAGACAGTGAAGAGACTGGTACAGGTGAATCAATGGAAGAATTACCAGAAACTTCTTCTGGGAGATCGAAGTTTGAGCGAGACAGAAGAGATGGAGAAGATCCAGATCAGCTCCTTACTATTTAGTTCGGTACGTTACCTCCTATCATGGCTAATAATTACTTACTAGCCAACGACTTCAAGAACAAAAAGAAAGAAGAAGAAGAAAGGGAGGATAATGAAGAAGAAGCATGTGTGCTGGAATGTGAAGAAGGTCAAACTTCTAGAGGGGCCTACGATGATGAAGAGGATGATGGTATGACGAACATCGAAGAGACAATTGATCTGGAGCAGAAAGAAGAAAGAGAGGGGTATCGCACAATACTCTGTTGAAGCAACTACATCGAGAGGGGGTTCTGGAGTGGACTTGTTAGGAGAACCGTCTAGGCGTTCTTTCGATTATTACGTACTGTACGGGACGCCCAAAATGAAAAAGAAAGTTCCTTACTCTGAAAAATATGGATCACCTCCAAGGATAATGCCTCCTCCCACAGGTTGGGCAACCGAAGAAGAAGCATTAGAAAATAGTAAAAAGAAAATTCAGGAAACAGAAACTCAGTGTGACATACTACACGTTGACTTATCACAAAATGATAACTTGACAGAGGACAAACAGGAAGTGGAAATAGATGCTGCTGAAAGTTATTTTTAAGAGACCAGCCATGAAGTTAACTAAACACTTGAGGCCATTGTACGTTAAAGCTTTAGTTAACGGCATACCTATGGCAAAAGTACTTGTTGATAATAGAGCAGCTATAAATACTATTTCATCTAAGATGATGAGGAAATTTGCAAAGACAGAAAGTGATATGATTCCAACGGAAGTCATCCTTACAAGTTTCAATGGAGGAGCAACTTTAGCTAAAAGGGTTATCTCATTAGATATAACTATAGGGACAACTACTAGGACCACAGTCTTCTTTG